TATTCCAATCATAATGGATACAATATTGAAAGTCAGGAATTAGTTTCGGCAATCAAACTTTCATGAAACCAATTATATCAGTCTTTAAATATAGTAGATTCAAGTCCTTTGTTAACAAAGCACACATTCAATTATTTTAGCGGAAATGACGGGGTTTTCATAATATTCCTTTATATGACTTATTCAAACTTTTTTTAAATGCATGCAGTATGTTAAACTTGACACAATTTTTGTTTTTGAGTAGCACTAACCAGTCATTGCTGAAAATGGGTGAAAAGGAGAGGACATGATAATTAGAATTTTTGGTTATCATAGAAACATGTCAGTAGTTTTGTATGACCTGAATCAAACCTTCTTTCTTTTAACATAAGATTCTCGACCACTTAACTTTGGAATGCATTCTTTGGTTCTGCAAATGACTTCTTACATATGTTTTTACGTCTCTAAATTAAATTTTTTCTATATCAAAGTTGTTGTATTTTAGGAGTGCAACTTGGACTGATAATCGTGATATTGAGAGGCGCATTTTCCATTTAGCAAAAGAATTCAACGTTCCTTTGTTTGAGAAGGATCCAGTAGTTGAAAAAAGAATCGAAAGTTTATACAGAGTAATTTTGCACGTTTTATAATATTATAGTTTTTCATATTGAATGGTAGTTTTTAAATTCATGTGATCAGTTTTAGAACTTTAAAGTTTTCCTACGACACAAAAGTGAATATGATAAAGAACAAAAAGGATCGTCAGCAATACCAGCGAATTTTAATGCTCAGCATAAAGCGTCTTACACCAAACTTGTTGAACAGCTCTCAAACATTGATCAGGTTTAAAGTTTTGTTCACAACAATATTTTGTTTTATTCATTTAATACTTTTTAGAATTGAGCTTTTGAAAATTTTAAAAATACATAAATTTTCAGCTTTTGAGTGAGCGTAATTCTCGATATCTTTTGGGACAGAGCATGACAGAATACGATTGTGAGCTCATGCCACGTCTTCACCATATTCGAATCGTTGGACAGCGTCTGCTTGGTTTCGACATTCCGCTTAATTTAACTTATTTGTGGAATTACGTACTCAGTGCTTACCGTACTGCTGCATTCATAGAAAGTTGTCCAGCTGATCAGGATATTCTTCATCATTACAAAGTATTACTTTAATTTTAAGCTGACACTGTAGTGAGGAAATATGTAATTGTTAAGACAATTAGGATTGGTCTGAGCTGTATTTGATGCGCAAACTATTTAATAAAGGCGTAAATTACTTGATAAATTGTGAGCGTAAAGTAGTTAATAAATTTTGAGAAGCGATGTTCCCTAGTTATTTGTTACTTTTGAACTGAAAAGCCACTAATGTTGTTTAAACGTGCTGGTTGGAAAAATTTTTAATGATATTTGATTTGGTACTTGGATAAATAACATTTTTTAATCTGTTACTGTAATATTGAAATAAAACTGAGAAATAATTGAAGTGGAATCACAACTTATTTGTTGTTATCAGTTAATTTAAAATTTTTCAACTTGTAACTTCAGGAACAGTTGAATTTGGTAACAAATCAGCGCGAATCTTTGCAAGTCCCGACTAAAACGCATACAATTCCAGAAAGTGTTTTGGAAGATATTCGTCGGCTCAAGTTGGATGAGAACTAAAAATAACTGCAGGCGATTATTCCTTATTCCTTGTCGATTCTTTTCTTTTGGTTTCACTTTACTGATTGTATTTCATGTGGGTTTAAAAATACTTGACCGCGAGATTTTAATTTTTGAGGAATTCACAGTTTCTTTAGGTTTACTATTCCTCATATCTCTGAATACATGTTTTTTAATGAACTAATTGCTTATTTTACTCGAAATTCCAAATTGGATAAAAATCATTCAAGCGGGTTTGTAGTTTTCCCTCGTGAATTACTTTGTACGTACGTATTATTAAAAGTTCCAAGAAGACATATATATTTTTTTGTCGTCAATATATTCACTTTATTAACCACATTTTCCAGTTCTGATTTTGCTTCATTTTTTTAGAACATACTCGTCGTGCCTTGTTTCTTGGAAAAATTCTCAAGAAATTCAGCTGCTGGAAATGTTTAATATTAAAGTTTGCTTTGATGCTAAGCAAGAGAAAGGAATTGCGTTATTACAATATTCAATATTGTTTCTGGTTGTGTCATAAAGTTCTCTCTGTATGTTAAATAAATGTTGCTTAACATTTTATGTCGCAAAAGCTAACAGTTAAAGGCAATCGAAGAAATTTGGTTAGAAAATGGTGAAAGGCATTGCAGTCAAACTGATCTTTCTTACAACACTATCTTTAAAAATTTGATAGTGACGCCTTGTGTACTTCTAAATAATACCCTTATCAAGCAGTAGTTACGTGAGTGTCATTTTATTGTGCCGTCACTGAATTGGTAGCAGCCTCAAATTAAAGAATCTAGTACTATACAGGATAAATCTATAGTTTAGAAATAGCTTATACTGGAAAAAGAAAATTGATTGGACTCGCGACACGTGTGACTTTACTTATTTGGCTTTACTGATCAAGTCGTAGCACTTTTGTATTGCTGTAAGTTTATCTTTCAACCATGGTGATGAATTTACAGAATATTTCCATTGAAAAACATATGGTAATCAGGCTATGCTAAAAACTAAACATTTTTAGCAACATTTGTTTGCAGTATTTACATAGAAGCGTAAATATGTTTACATAGAAATTAATCACTAAAGATCTTATTTTCATCTGCTCTTGAAATATTTCATTTTCCACTTTTATAGTATTTTATTTATTTCTGTATTAGATTGTGTACATTTTTCATGTCAAAATTGACTGATAAAAAAATACTTTACAAATACTTTACTTAATAACAACAACTACAAGAATGAAGTCATTATTCATTTAGAATGACAGTAGTTAATTTTCTTAAAAAGATTACTTATTAGTCATAAAAGAATTTGTGAAGTTTTGCTCTCACTTTTATAGCTGAATCACTGGCGTGACTGTATTTCTGTAATAAAATACAACTGTAAGGGGAATGTTCAATATGGTATCTATTTTACAAATGAAAGCAAAAATAAACAGTAAGTTTTCAAATTCAGAATTTTGGTAAGAAATGAATAATGCTTAATTAGTTAGTAACTTGAAATTCAACTTGATAGCTTGAAATGCATCCTTTAATTTCTATCAGTATTTACGATTAAGTGATTGACATAAAATTATGTTAAATATTTTTTATCACAATGCAAAAAAGAAAGATTGCTAGCATCTCTACAGAATATGCTGCTTCATCGTGATGGCACTTTGATATTCATAAAAGATGAAAATAACTTTGAGTCCATACGCTCAACACAAAGTTCATTTAGGCTGATAAACTAACTAGCGGGAGAGCATTCTGTTATCAGCATTATTTTTGTAGATGAATTGCTCATGAAGTACAATTATTTATTTTCATTTATCAAATAAAAAAATTAATTACAGTGTAATAAAGTACATGATATCAGGAAGTATAAGTATACTTTATGATAATATCAATAAGATCTTGAAAGACAAAAGGTGTGGGAAGTCTTAATTCATATGAATAGCAGTTTCTGCAATGAAAAGATTTAATGGTACAAACAGATATCATAAGTACAAAAACAAAAGTATCGGATATCAAAGAAGTAATGGAAAACTTTTAGGATTACTATTTAAGCGTTTGAAAGTTTATTGCTGCGCAATGTCACTTGGCCTCAGATGAAATAAAGATATTATAGACAAGCAGTGATTGTTATAATCAAAATAATTCCCTCCAAATACCAATTTCAGTATTGTTATACAAAAATAAATAGTACTGAATATCAAGCGATGCAATAAAAATGAATAATACTGAATATATTGTGATTAAATTTGATCTCAGATCAAAATTAGTTAACATTCGTTGTAAACACAAAATATTTAAACACAATTATTTACTCTTTAACTGGAAAATTGCCTTTTTTTAATGTCAAAAAAGAAGAAAAGTTTGTGCTGATAATAATAAAACAACAAGAAATCACTTTGTGGTATCTTATACACCCATAAAAGTGATTGTGATAAAGTGATAATAAAATTTTATGGCATGCAAAATTAATACAGTCAATACAAAAGTAGTAGTAGTATTTAATTAATGATAACAAAAGAATGATTTTTTGAACACTGTAAATAAGCAACTAAAATAATTATTTATTCAAATGAAAAAATAGTTATTTTTAAAAAGTTTATTTTGAGCATTTTTTAAGAATAAACTTTTAAATAAGCCCTTGCTGATAGTTGCAAATTAATTAAAAAATATTTTAAACAGGAATATTTTCACAAAAAAAAGACTGTTAAATTTGTAATGACATATCATTGCTTATAGCATTATAAAATAATTTTAAGCAAAAATAAATAATATAATGGATAAAATAAATATTCAAATAAACAAACAAGAATACAAATTCATAAATTTAAATTTTCATATAATGCTAAAAAAAAGTGTAAAAATCACAAACTAAATATGGTAAACAACAAGAATTTTGTTGCCAAAAATCGTCTGCTCTTATCAACAAATCAACTCGAATCGAAAACACGATTTTTTATTTTTAAAAAAGTTGCAGCACAGAGCTTTGTTAGCTTAAATAGTTTTTCTTCTGAAAAAAAAAATTATAATTGTAAATTTTGATTAGTATTTGTATTTTTAGCACTCTTTGCTTGTTTTTGACTCATTGTAAATAATTTAAAAGAGCATTGATAACTACTGATAAGCAGCACGAAATTTCAGAATGAAAACTTCGCTCTTTTTATTGCTATTTAACTTTTTCACAAATTACTTTGTTATAATTCAAATATTCAGAAGATTATGCCATATTCCATTCATTCATTTAGACTTACTCTTAAAAATGTGTCATGAGCTTTTTGTGTTATTTACTAAAAAACTAGAAATTTTATATTTGCATGTTTTTAAAAGTAAATAACTTGTGCTGCAAACTTGCATGTCAAATGGTAACAGTTTGACAGCTAATTATTCAAATTTTTATCCTCTTATTTATGCAATAAACTGTAATCAATGTAAATTAATGAATAGTCATAAATTTTACAAAATAAATAATACAATAATTTATCTATTTGGACTAATTTTTTAGAAAATTACTTGAAATTTTTATGCTATACTAATATGAATGCAAATAGCAAGCATGATGATGGTAAAATACTTTGGAAATTATTGATAATAATGAAAATTATATTGATATTTTATGACATCATTTTACTATAATAATAATAATATTATTATTATTTAGTATTTAAACTAACATTAATGCTGTTGTAAACAGTAAATAAAAATATTATTTATAGATTGCAGCTATTTTGAAGGTAAAAAAAATAACAAAATATGAAATCAAATGTATCACCTATGGAAAAGTCAACGACTGAATCAGAAAGTGTTGAAAGTCAAGGCAATTTAAGTGCAGAAGTCACGTCAGATCAAAGTTCAAATAATAATCAATGCAATGCAAAGTTAGTTATTTACAAAAATTAAAGACCCTTTACTGACAGAAATTTCTTTAAAGTGTAATAAAATGAATTACAGGACTTGTGGCAGTGAATTGTCTATGCCATTCTCACAAAAAAAGCGATTTCCACTTGCTGATAAAAGGTATTTTCAACACTATCAGTAATATTATTCATAAAACCAGGATTAATTTAGATTCCTATCTTTTATTTGTATTAATACTCATCTGATGGCGCTAAATTCATGACTCGCTTAGCTGAACTCCTCAAGAAATTATCTCTGACAATCACTTTATAGAAGATTTTATGGATAAATAATCAAAAATATCAAATATTTTTATTGAAATTAATTACCAAATATATCAAGCAATGTTTGAGAAAAACTTTTGAGTAAATAATCATGAAAAAGCAAATAGCACTTTGCTTTCGAAAGTGTTATTTAATAATCGACAAGAACTGCAATAACATTTCACTTATAAATCTTAACTAAATTGTAATTAAACAATATTAAAGTAATTAAAGCCTCTCTTTTAAAAATATTTATATTTGCTTTTTATTTCAGTACATTCTTTTATTTTTTTATACTCAACTATAAAATTCAATACTGCAAAAATAAATTTGCATTTTAAAATGTATTCTCTAGACTTAAATTGATTATATTAGAGCAAACAAATTCAAATTTGTAGCTGAAAAATATTTTTTGGATTGATTTATTCAAAATAAATGCTTAAAGCAAATGTTATTCTGAATAATTGAATTTTGATCGCTAAGAATTCTTTTTTTAATTTTATTTCAACTATTTATCCGAAAAAATTTTTATCCGTTTTGTTTTGAATAATCTACAAAATCATTTTAATTCTTAGTACTAAAACTTTTTAAGTCAAATTTTCACCTATTTTTATGCTATATTTAATTCGTTAAACACTGATCTAAAAACGGTAATTCTTAGCAAAATGACCCCTCTAAGTGATTTAAAATAGACCCAAACAATTTTCATAAACTTTTTATTCAAAAATTAATTAATATTTTTGATATCTTTTTGAGATAGAATTTTTTTTTAATTTCCATTTAAAGGCTATAATTTTTCATGCTTAGATTCCTGTTGCAGAGGCAGTATTGTGGATGAAGTACGATATCTGAAGCAGCGAGCATCTCAACTTATTGTTCAAGTTCCTGTTAAAAATCTGAAAAAAATCGCCAATACTGATGGCATTCATTCTTTATCAAAAGAAACACAACATTTTTGTGGTTAGTTTTCAACAAACAAAACTTACAGTAAATTATAATATACTTTCCTTTGAAGTAAATAATAAATTCTAAATTCTAAAACAAAATAAAAATTTAAATTCGTAGCAATAAAATTTAATTTGTTCAAAAAAGTGAATAATAAGTAAAGCATGCATTTAAAAAATGCCAAAAATAAGCAAAAATGAATAAAAAACAATTTTTAAATACTTTTTAATTTGCCAAAAATAATTGTGTCAATCATATCATTCAAATGCTTTTTTGATAAATTATGTTTATGCTTTATCTCAAATAATTACAAAAAGGTTTTTATCATTAAATAAATAGTTGTATTTGTTCATTAGGCATTTGTACTATGCACGGACCATTGAGAGCCTATCGAGGCAAGCATTATTCTCGATTATTTTGGACCACAATGCTCATACTAAATAGCATTTTGTTAGTATGGCAGACTTCGCTTTTACTTAGTCAATACTTTGCTAATCCAACAGCATCACAAGTAAATTTTATATTTTATATAGTAAAAAATTCCTTCCATTTTATGCATAAGAATTATTAATGGAATAGTCTCATTAAATTGTAACTATTTTAAGTAGTAAATTACGTACGTCAATAATACTTTTTCTTATTTCAGTAATAGTAATGTGACTGCGTTGTATTAAGTAAATTGTAACTTTTTACTACATGGATTTACTGTTAGCTTTTTCAAATAGTACAAAACTCGTTTAGTATATAAAACATTGCATTAATACTTCTATAAATTGCATTTTGAATTATTAAAAAGTACTTCAAAACTATAATTGCCCAACAAAAATACTTGCATTGAAATTAGTTTGTACTTGTTCATTACTAAAAATTTTTAAAAAAGGATTTAAAATTGTTATTCAATTCAAAATAAGTTCTTTTTTTATTAAGCATAATTAATGGTAATTTGAGTGATGGATATAGTTGATATTCAAGGCAAACTTGTTTTAATAATTTTTTTAAAGGTATTATTCATTCTGCCTGAGGATGGCATTTCATTTCCATCGCTTACTATTTGCAATTATAATGCAATTAGAAAATCATATGTCAAAGGTAAAGTAAACTTTTGATTCAAATTCAAGCAAATTTACTAGTATTTCATTGTGGGACTAAACATTATAACTTGTAATTGTAATTAAATCAATCAGATAATTACAATTTAATCAGTATTCAGTTTAATATTGAAACTTTAATTTTTATTACATACTTAAATAATCAAAATAAAGGCATAAATTCGAAAAATATTACAAAATTATAAAGAATGGATAAGAAAATAACTGACTTACAAAATAAAACACAAATTATAAATTACAAAAAAAAAAGAATTGCTGAAATTTTGTTAAATATCAAAATTAAAAAATTTAAGACAAAGCCAGTAAGTTTCCAATTAAAATTTGTCTAATTTTTAGAAATATTTACTAATTTATTGCAATAATTTCAGAAATAAATATCAGCGGTGATTTCTCACAACAGATGCTGAATTACATCAAGCAATCATACCTTGAAGCTGACACTTTTTATGCAAATGCTCAAATAGACGGACTGGAACAAGGAATGTTGGAATATGCAAATTATACTAGAAATTTGAAGAATAAAAATTTTTCATTTCATCTTTTTTACAATCAATCAGGGTAATTTCTAGGTTTTCAAATTACTATGAACTTTAACCTTTTTAAATTTAAAAGTTTTAAACTCAATTAATGAGGTAGTATTTTTGAGTTCAATTTTTCCTTTCAAACTTTGTTGCATTTTTATGATAAATTTTATTTTATCCAACAAAAAAAATTCTATTATTACAGGTTTTCATGTGAAAATATGTTAAAAATCTGTACATTTGGAGGTAAACGATTTAATTGTTGTGAACTAGCAGAACCTATTCTGACTACTTTGGGTCAGTGTTACTTAATTCAGCTCAGTACTGCAAAGGATGCTTTTCTGCAAAAGCAAAGTCAAGCTGGACTTGAACGGGGGTCATTTATGCTTTTTAATCTACTCTACTAATTTTTTTTTTGCCGTACAATTTGCATATTTCTCACGCATAATTTTTATTCATCAACGCATTCAATGCTATGAAAAACGGATAAATTATTTATAACTAAAAATAATTAATTGCCAAACAATCTCATTTATACCACACAAAAATTGCTACTGCTATGAAGAGATTAATTTTTGGCAATAAATTACTTTTATTAAAAAATAATTAATTTGCAAAGTAAAGCAAATATTATTAATAATTTTAGAGTAGTGTGACAAATTCAGAAGCATTACATTTGTAAAAATTTTAGGCTACGAATCATTGCTGACTTTCATAGAGAAGAAATGCTAGAAAATCTTATAAGTGGTTTGTTGTATTATTCGCAAAGCATAAAACTACTGAATAAAAAAATTATTATAATTTTTTATTGTTATTTTGTTTTTTGGAACATATACTGAACTTGGCTTATTATTATTTAAATAACTTTGTTGTTAAAAATATTATAATTTATTGAATTAAGCTAAAAGTGATTAGATTTTTTGATTCTTGCTTTCATTTAGATGATTATCAACCATTCATGTCAAATGGACTCGTAAATGGATTTCGGTATTTTGTCCATGGTGTTGATGAGATATCTTATCTGTCCCACGAAGGTATCAGCGTATCACCTGGATTTAGTATTGATACTGCTATAGCATCAAGCAAGGTTTTTTATTTTATTGAGACTAAGTTTTTTTCAGACTAAGATCTTTAAAAAATTATATTTTTTTGAATTTTAATTCAGAACTGTAAGAAATACAATTACTCTAAACTACTAAATTGTTATTTTGAAAAGTTAGCTTTTATAAAAAATTAATGAAAATTTATTCAATTCATTGATTAATTTATTCAAATTTGTTCAATTCGTGATGAATAATAATTGTTATTATTAGTATTTTAGTATGCAAAATATAACGAAATTGCATATATTTAGAAAGATTAAAAGTTTTGTGAGGTTTTTTTGTGCAAATTACACAAAAAATTGAAACATTTCAAATTTAGAAAAAGTCTGATCTAAAAATTTGTAGTTAATTTTGAAAACTTTTCAATTATGAATATAAAGTTCTGTATTTTCAAGAGTTGTCAAGAATTTAGTTTATTACTGATACAAAATTGTAAATTAGTTCAACTGATTAAATTTTTGTATCTAATTCGAATTTTTTAGTTCTTACTACTAGACGAATCACAATTAGGTAATTGTACAAATAGCTGGCCAGATGGATATCATAGTTTACAACGTTATTCAGCTGCCAAATGTCGAGCTTTTTGCCGAGCTCGATATTTTAATGATAAATGCAACTGTAGTCCGTTCTTTTACAATATTGATAATGGTTGATATTATTCATTCATTCTATTAAAGTATATATCATTGTATTCATACAATATGTAACATTAAACTAAACTAAAATATGCTAAATTATTAATTTTTGATAATTAAAAATGATTGAAAATACATTTCAAAGTATTATCATATATTCTGTGATGCAGTATTTAACCCTTAAAGTAACTTTATTTTTTAATGCATATTGTTTGACCAAAAAAAAAGAATTACCTTTTGATTACAGTAAATATATTGAAATAGAAATAAGATCATAACATTAAAAGTGTTATATACTTTTTGAAATATTTACAGAGTATAGAGTATGTTCGCCATATGAGACTTATATGTGCATCTACAATAAGCTTTCTGGTTTGTCATACTTTTTATTTGAAAAATAATAATAATGACAAATTAATTAGTAAAAAAGAATTATATTTTACAAAAATTGCATGCATAAGTATAAATTTAAGCCTTTTATATTTAACTTTTAATTTTTAAACAAATTATATTTAATTTAATATCGAAGCTATTATTAAACTTATAGTTGTTTTAACCATTTTGCTAAGTAATTTTTTTCATTAAAAATAAATAATTTAATGAACTTTTATCTGTTCAGAAATGCTTTTTTAATATGCAAATGACAATTTTTAAAGATTCTAACAAAAATTATGTGCCACCAAAATGCAATGAATGTAAAATTGAATGTAAGAGATGGGTTTATCATTCTTATAATTCATATGGACAAGGTTTTTCTACTGATATGCTTAAATGGTTGCACAGTCAAAATCCCGAATGGACACCTAGTCATGTCAGGTAACCTCTTATTTAAATTGAATTTTATTCTATTTTTTCTTACTTTCAATTTTGGTTTGAGTCATAAAAACAGTTTAAAAAATAAAAAGTAAAAAATCACTGAGTAGGAATACCTTATGAGAACTGATGTATTCAGTTTAATAATCCTTTAAAATGTCACTACCAAAATTTATAGTAAGAATTTCAAAAATTATTGCTAACACTTTGATGAATTCTCATAACTGCGTTAATTATCATTTACAAATAAAAAAATACTTAGCTTAGCAAATAAAAGCTTCGAGTAAATACTTAACTTATCAGCTAATCACTCAAAAATTGTTTGAAACTCAATTTAATAACTGCAATAATTTGATGCAATTGCTAAAATTTTTAATTCACTTTTGATAAAATTTGAAATTTGGTCGAAATTTTTTAATTGTTAAAGCTTTTGATATTTTTTACTTATGCTATCATTCAGAATTTGTTTTTCAGAAAAAATTTTGTGACGATTAACATTGCTTACATGGATATGTCATACACTCTTTACAGCCAAGTACAAACTAAATCAATCACCGAAATCCTCAGTTAGTTTTGTGATAAATGTTGTTTGCTATACTGCTGATAAGCACTGAAAAATGTAAAAAATTTCAAGATAGTTTTATTATTTTTACTTTCTAAAAATTACTTCTCTGTAATTTAACTTTACAAGTAATAAGTCAGTCGGATAAAGTAATTGTATGAAAAAACTATTTTTTCCTCACACAAATCAAACAATTTTCAGTACTTTAATAAACTGAATTTAAACACTAAAATTAATAAATCTTTAAAAGTGTGCATGAGCATTAAGAATTATTAAAAGATACTACAGTATACTTACTGCAAAAATACAGTAATTTCTTTTGATAGGTAATATTGGTGGCAATATGGGTTTGTTTTTTGGTATGAGTGTATTGTCGTGCTTCGAAATTATTATGTATTTAGCAAAAATGACTTGGATTATAATTTCCAGAAAACGTAGACAATACATGTATCACAAGAAAAAGAGCGATGAGGCATGACATTTGCATGTTGTGTTTACATTAATTAATTTCTAGTTAATTAAATTTATAAAAAACAGCCTTCAGTATTCTACTGCTTTAGTAAAGATTACCATTTCTGTACGGTAAACTATTTTTGTACGATGTATTATGTGTTATTCAAAAGTACGTATTATAGAATGCTTTGATTGTTTTGTAGGAGCAAGAGAAACGATTGAAAGAAACGATTAATATAGTGGGTGGTAATGAATCCTCGCAAGTTATGCGCAAATTATCAGCCAGAAATCGATTCAAACATTTTGGTTCAGAATTTGCTAAACGTGCCTGGAAAGCATCTTTTTTCAATGACTTATCTGACGTAAGTAAATTAATTAATTGCTTTGTTATAATAAAAAAAATATTTTATGACATTTGAAGCATTTATACCAAAAATAAGCTAAACTTAACTACTCAAAATTGCTAATAAGTAAAAGCACAGAATATTACAATAAAAAGATTTATTAATTGCAAGCAGCACTTAAAATTATTGGATGTTGACAAAGTTAGATAAAACAACAGTATTTTGATTCTATATCAGTTCCATTTCTATACTTTGAATGGCAAAAGTATCATCAATCTTCCTTCAAAATATTTTTACCTTTTAACTTTTCATATTATTTATCATATTTGAATTATTATAGCGATTTTTAATATATATTAAAAAAGTTTATTACAAATTGTTTTATAAAATGAATGCATTTGAAATATCTTTTCTTTTAACAAAAATGCTTTTTGCGTTAAAAATTGAGCACGTTGGATGCAAGAAATTGTCATTTTCAGAAGACATTAGAAAATTTAGAATCTCAGACCGGAAGCAATCGAAATGCTTTCTTCAAAAACTACATCACCAACCGTTTATACAACGATGGTCCCATTGATACATTCCCTAATGATGTAATTACTGGTAGCGATGATTTGATGGTATTTTTATTTCATTTTATTATTTATTCCCAATATTTTTTGAGTCATTTTACGGAAATTTTTACATTACTTCACGTTTTCCTTCCTGAACTCATTTAAAAAATGTACACTTAAAAAAACATTTTTTATACTGTCACTTGCCTACAGTCTATATGAAAAGTAATATTAGACTTAACTTATTTGTAATAAGTAAAATGAATCAAAAAGTATATTTATTTATAAGTTTTGCCTAATGCCAAATCTAATACTAAAATATATTTATAATAAGTTATATCTAATACTAAACTTATTTATAGTAAGTTATGTATAAAATCTTTGTCACTCTTAAAGTGTTTGCGTAATCTAAGAGATATTGAAAACTGCTAAAATTTTATCTCAATTATGATAGAAACAGCCAATTATAACAGCAATATCAATCAGTAGTTGAGATAGACAGTAATCTAAAACTGATTTTCAACGTTTTAAATTGACTTAATTCAGATAAGATTCAGATATATAGTCTCTATATAAATATATGACAAAAATTCACATCGCCTTTATCTTTCTTTTCAGTTGGAGCTTAAAATAAATGTAGACGATTTGTATCGCCATCGTAGTAGCAGTCTACCTATTCCATGTCAAGTAATCACAAGATCAAATTCAACGAATGATCGCAAAAGGCGTCGTCGTTCATTAACTACTCCACCAATGAAGTACTTGGTTTCATCGATAAATCCCACAACAAAAAATGCAGTAATTGGCAATAAGCAACATAAGAGAACAATCTTGGATGATTGCTACTTAGATTTTCCCGAACATATTGCTGAAACAGATGAAGCTGGAGCTGAATTATCTCCAAAGCAATCCTCAAACGAAATTTATGATGATAATAGAGGTAATTCGATACAAAATGTCAAAGTTACACCTAACTCTGTTGCACCCATCAAGAAAGATGAAATGAACGAATGTTTAAAAAAGTAAACTAATTGCTGAGAATTCCACTTAGACAAAAGAACTTCATAAAGTATTCATGTATGAACGCATGAGAGATATAATCACATAAGATCAAAGTGAAGATGCATACATTAGTTCCTCTAAAGAAAGTAGAACTCATTCTCTCAAATCAAGCTAAAGTCAGTACATACTACAAGGGATATCTAATACATGGAACTATGTCTATAACTTTTCATCAAAATAAATAGCTGTTTTTACAGTTTTGAAATTTACATTCCTCGATGTATTCTCAAACGTCTCTCATTAACGCGAATTAGAGATGGAAACTTTTTTGTTCCATAAATAAATAACTCGTCAAATGGTATGTGCATAATGTCTTACAGTGCTAAATATTGCTTGTACAATCTTCCACGACTTAAGAAAAATTGCTACCATCATGCAACAAAACCCATTCTTTCTATGGATTGAACACCTCCCACAAAAATAAAGCAAATCCCCACTGCAGTGGAACTAAAACATTGCCTTTTCTTGATTCAAATAAAATAAGAATATTATTGAAATTATCATTTTCGAGCGTTCCCTTAATACATTATATTTAATTTTTCAACAAAATGTCGAGGCAAACTGTGTGTATTAAGCAATTTTTATTAAATTTCACTATACATTAATTACTACAATATAACAGATAAGATCGAGATAGAAAACCAAGAGAAGGAAAATACAAGCTACATTTGCGGAATAAAACATGCGGTTTTCCTACATATGAATATGAAATTTCATATCTGAGTTTAGCATTACATGCTTTATTGCCAACCTTATGTTTTTCAATATCTAGAAAGTTATGAAAAATTCTCAGAATTCACAAATGGAAGCAAATATAACGTTACGAAATTAATACATAAGTATCCCAATGGAAGCGTTGAAGCAATTATACCATAATAATAAACACAAGACGAAGAGACGCATTTTTCAGACAAATCAAAAAAAAACATTTGCCTAACCTTTATCTGAGTTGTATCAAATTTTCAAGCAAACTTACCTTAGGATAAAAAGTTCAAAACTGATCCTTGGATCAGAAGGAATAAAGTGATAATGAACATATGCATCTGAAAAGAGAATTCACTCTATTACATTTGACTAACAGATCTAAAGAATCTTTAAAATGATGACCAAATGCTTTACATTTTTTAAATATTAAACTTATTAAAGTTAAACAATTCTCAGTTGTTTTAAGAAACTTCGAACGTAAAATTGAAATTTCTTTCAAAATAAGTTCAACTCCGTCATAAGGACTTAATCGCAACAGAATAATTTAAATCACAGCTTACAAAACAGAGTGAAAGAAGTGAAGAAAGTCTGAAAAATAGACATCAAAATAAGATTGATCCCTTCTTGCAATTTAGCTAATTTCGTACCCAAAAATTATTTGAAAAAATTAGCAAGCTTAGCAGAAGTTTCTGGTCATAATTTGATTTACAATTGTAATTGCTGACAGAAATCAAAATTTATGCCATAGATGGATAGAATTATTGATTTAACAATGCCCAGGCGTCGTCATCCCAATCCTTTTTAGGTGCCACTTTCTTGCTATTTACCGCAGCTCCTGCTGATTTGGATGATTTTTCTTGAACAAATTTTTCCGTTAAATTTGCGCCATAAGAATCATGTTTTTTATCCTCCAAATAAAAATCGATCAATGGAGGCGTTTGCTAGAAAAAAAATGCTTCAACAAAGCAAATAATGAAAAAATTTTCAGAAGTTCCAAATGTTATAAAACTAGACCTCTTTTGTCCTATTAGCTGAATTTTCCGTACTTAATATTGAAATCTGTTTCGCTGATTTGTCTGAAAAAGTAAAGATAAGATTATTTCAATTACTGAACTTCTTATATACACCAGGAATATCAATACAATCAAATGACTTAACAAGTTATTCTTAGTTTTCTGTGAATCAGTGAGTCAAAGACAAGTACTTGTGCTACAATTTCTAATCCACACCTATGTGACTTAAAAATTTTTACAAATTGATGTCCCACCATTTTTAATTATTTTGAGTTTGCGGATTCCATGAATTTGAAAACTTTCATATTTCGATACAGATGCAGCAAACAATTTTAATGAAATAGGTCCAGAAACTAAAAACTAACCATAACTAAAGAAATCAGAACTGAACTTGGAATCCAGATAATCATGTCCATCTAACCCAAGTGAATTACTTCTAAAAATTACAAAAGCACAGAAAAGAATAAAATATAAGATATCAAATATTTACAAAAATATTTATGAATTTATCATAACAAAACTGACGGGCAAGTTTGGTAATTGCTTGTTTCCTGTTTGAATGAATTCTCATGACTTTCGGGTGTAACGATATCTTCATAATCACTGCAGTTCAAGCATTTTTATCGGTGACTTTAAAAACTAATCATATATACGAATTTAGAAAATGTTTCCACAATACCCGTATCAAACCTTAGTTTCTACTGAAAAGCTCCATTACTATGTATAAGATCAATCTCGAAAATATGAATGCAAAATATAGAAGTTAATAAACCTCTTAGTTCTTGGAAAGTTGAAACCTTGCAGAGAAGGACTTTTCACAAAGTTTGATAGTCCAGTCCACGACCGAGATCCCATTTCGGAAGCCTTTTGCGCCAAACTTTCTAATGCTGGTTTACTAAATATTGTCCCATCACGCATCTGAAATTAAGTAAGTCGAAACAAAACATTGAGAATCGTAACATTTTTATAGTATAATATCAGTCAAAACTTAAATTTTTATATTAATTAACAAACTTAACATTATAATATTTGATAGCAAGAAAATTCTACAACAAGTTAATGTACTTTCTCAGTGACACTGCCACCTAATTCGGAAGCTTTTGCGGTTGCTTGTGAGCTTATGTCTTTTGCATATGAAGCGGCATTTGTTGCTTTTTTACTCAGTATATTCCAACCCTTAAAGAACTTTTTTTTAAAAATTATCATAGATTACTAAAGTAATTAATATAAAGCAAATTATGCAAATGATTTCCAAAGATCCACTTTTCACAAAACTATTTGCAAAGTATTCCAGACTTTAATGAATTTCTACAACTTACTACAGAAAGAGATGATAGAGCACCAGAGAGCAATTCATTGGATGAATCTCCATCATTAATAATAGTAGTATTCCCGAAACCTTGATAACGATTTTCACTAAAAATTCACGGTTACACATCACAGGTGATTACAAAAAATTTTAAATCACACAGAGTTCTTTAACATAAGATTTGAGAATAATTGAAGCTTTCTATGCATGAAAAACTGCCAGTTAAATGAAAAAGTATCGGCTACTTTTAGTCTAGCAGAAGCGAAGTAGAAATCATAACAAATAAAGCGATTCTCATGTGAAAAATGCAGCTGGAAATGAAACACAAAATAAACCAAACTTTTATGAAAATAAATCATTACCTGCTATAGTCAGAGTGATATGAATCGCCCTGGAATCTTGTTGTATTCCCTCCATAATAGGAAGATACACTATCGGAACTGCTATGTCCTCCAGGTCGTGTATGAGAAGACGCACTTGTCAAAGCATGTGAGACATAATCTTTCGCTGGTGAAGTTTCAACTGACCAATTTCGGTTTTCAGATTCCGCCAATACCTTTTAAAAAAAGATAATAAAATATATACCAATGAATACTGAATAATAATCTCGCTATTTTCATACCTTATCTCTGAGAAGAGCAGCGGCCCTTGAATTGTATTTTTCATGAAGCGACCAACTTGAACGATATTCTGGTTGGCTTTTTATAAATTCTAATGCTTTCATATTACCACCAGCTTTCATTTTGCTGAGCTCACTATCTTTCCACTTATCCATAGTTGTGGATCGTACAAAACTACAAAAAATTTTTAAACAGCATTAAAGAATAATAATGTTCTTATTACTCAAGTTCTCAAACTATGTCAAAGAACCTTTAATAAGTAGACATACCTAACTAGCATTTTATAAATTTTATAAGTATGGAAAAAAAGATGCGAATAGACCTGACGTGTACACCTAATCCACGATGTAAGCCAGAACAATCTAAACAGAGCCAAATCCCATATGTTACACTAGCCCACTGAGGATTACTCGCACCACATTCAAAGCAAACCTGAAAAGCTTATGCTTGTAGAACTTAAGATTACAAAAATTAAGTATAATTTTTAGTCCTTGAAAGTCTAACATTATTTCCAGGAACTGCTCGAAGGTCCTGAATGACACGACGTGTTCTTGGACTAGCCATTCAAATACTTAATTCTTATAGCATTATATGTGCTCATAAAAGAAAACTATTTTTCGCTTTGATTGGACTGACCAAACAAGTTCAAATATATTTACCAAAAGTTTGGCAATCCCTGAAATTTAAACATTATGAACACATTGATTAAGAGACACTTTTTAATAATTCTCAATAAATATCACATTGTTTTCATAAAAAATTACATATTTTTTAACATATATTTTCTATTGTTTAACATCTTTCTTAATTAATCAAATGTGCGAAGTTTAGAACTGCCAGAATCTTTATGATAAAGATTTTCTTATATTTTATATGCAAAAGAAACGAAGAAAGAAATCCGTAAATTTTGTACCATGTAGAAAGACATTGAATTTGATGGGTAACTGGTGAGACAAAAAAGTAACGTAGGCAGGGAGTTACGCTGCTGACTTCCACTTTACGTGCGATTATGTTTCATGACAATACATGTAAAGTAAAAATGAACTCGTACCTACGTACTTTTGGAGCTCCTAGGAGCCTAGAAATATACACTTCGATCAATAATAAACTAACAATTAATCGACAGCGCTCACCATAAAATCATGGTAGTTAATGACGTATCTGGCAAGTTGAGCATGTGCCTATTGGTCTGAGAATTTTATTTGAAATGACATTTATTACTGATGTTTCGCCAACCTTCCACATTCTTATTCAGCTTGTTAATTTGTCTTCCTTCTCACTCTCTTTAACCTTTATTGACCTTTTAGCTGATTCTATTTAATGATTTGCTAAATCATTATAAATAAATTATTACAAAAATTACAACTGTAAAACGAATTTTTGCAATAATTTATTTATATTTCTAATAACTTCGTAGTCAACTTTTGATTTAAACAAGAACATGCGATGAATTGACCTGTGCTTGTTGGATTACCTGCGCAGAATGTTTTTGAAAAACTTCTGTATTTGCATAATTAAAGAGTAAAAATGAAGCTATAGTAAGTCAGCTTGCCAAGTCTTTCGACTACGATAAATATCCCCTCTGAACTAAATATTTAAATATTCTTACATTCATTATGCAAATGTGTAGATAGAATAAAACAGACTTTCGGATAAGAAATATAATGTTTAAAAAATTGTTAGTGTAAGTCAGCGTTACGACTCAGCATTGAATATTGAGTAATTTTCCTGAAGATCTGATAACAAAAGTTATGTATCTTTCTAAACTAACAACATTTCTTGCTCTTTCCATGATGCTAATGGGCCTTATAAATGCATCTACTGGCTCCTTGGAAGAAAAATTAGAAAAGGATTGGCAAGCGCAAAAGGATTTCTTGTTAGATATTGATGATGTACGATCAGATGCTATCGAGAATGTTACTGATATATTTCTGACTGTAACAGCAAAATTAGTTAGAGCGGGGCGACTAATGATCCAGATTAAACGTCGCATGGTAATACTAATAGATGCAATTGGTGAATTGAGTTATGATGCGCAATGGGCATTATTGGGATGGTTTGGTGCAATGATTTTTTTCCCACTTTTTACAGGCGCAGTTGTCGCTACTATTATATCAGTATGCTTCCAAAATGAACTAATAAATTTGCAAACTCTCTTGCATACTCGTTGGGATGTAGGTGATAAACCAGATATTATAACTGAAAGTAAAATGAAACGACGTCTTGGTAACCTAGCAATGCAGCGTTTGTTCCAACAATATAGTCGTCGTCCGGAGAAAATGTTACCCATACAAGGAAAACGTGACCCTGAAGCATTGATCCGTATTAAGCAAGAATTACCAGAACCTAAAGAAGTAAGCAATCTTGGTTGAGTGCCAGTGATATTCATACAGCAGTCAATTGACATTATATTATACTATCCAACATTTCCGATATGAACATGTATCTCCTCACGCATTCCTTTATGCATAATTATAAATTTGCTGCAAACGATGCCAAGTATTTCCAGTCGGTGAGGCTCTTAGCTACAAAACAATTTCTTTTTCTGTGATGTTATCAAAGGGAGATATTAATAAATGTAAATGTGGTTGCTTCCCATTTATTTTCATAGTACACAGTAAATCTTAATTCGGTTTTTCAGATTTATTCGAATTCAAACTAACTCTTGTACAGTATTCACAAAAAAATGACCTCTATAAAAAGCACTTACAAAAAGTCCTTATAAAGGTTCATGTAAAAAAACTTTGAGGCATGCAGAACAAACTACAATAAAAAGCAGGCCCAAAGAAAGGATTTCAGAAAAAAGTACAGTATTCACAAGATACGACTTTTAAATAGCAAGTATACAGTATTCATATAAAACAAATTCGATAAAAGAGAAACTATATCATTATCCACAGAAAATAATGATAACAACAAATAACCCTTAGTTCGATAAAGTGAGCACATAATATTACTGACTGTATAACAAGTTCATAAAGCAGAATATCAAGTAAAGTAGGAAAGTTACAGCTACAATTACAACTGCAACAACAGATTATTAAGTAATGTAAGAAAATTACAATTGCAATTAGGTGGGCAGTTCTGAATAGTAATATGTCAGTCAAGCATTCTTAAGAAAACATGAATCCTTTTAACATATACTATTTTCTTACTCTAAAGATCTTGATACAAACTTTACAATTTTCTAGCGGCAGATTCTATGCTTTGTGACATCTAAATCACAAAAAGCAGCCACCATCCTGGGTCGGTAGATAATGAACGGGGTGTTCTGAAGATGTCATGGGTAGATTTGGTGAGAATAAATTTATTCGTATGGGAAAAAATTTCCCAGCTATATTCAACTGGTAGTTTCCATTCTTGATGTAATCAACTGTTAGATTTCTTTCTTTATTCTCGATGTAGCCTATACATACCTAGAAAGAAGACAAGGTAAGGGACCTAGACAATTGAAACAAAGATAAATTTTAAACACTTCTGAATGAAAACAAGAAGTAGGAGTATGAAATACTCATAACTGAGCGCATGAACTACCTGACAACCAAGGGTATATCCGTAAGCTGCAGAAGTTGTACGCCCTACTGGTATTCCATATCTGTAAATTAATTCACCACCTTGCGGCCATGGATCGTGATCTAAATCGTGGTTATCTACAAGCAGTTGCACATATCGTTTATGAATGCCACTTTTTTTCTGTTTCAACAATGCATTTTTACCAATAAAGTCCTTCTGAAAAATCAATCTCAATTGTCGTAATTCTGCAATCGACAGAAAGTATAATATGTATTTGAAAAACAAGGAAAATAATCAAACAGACATTGAAATCGACACGATAAGCACGTCCGCACTCGAGAGGTGTTACATTTGCAGATATATCTTGGCCCCAAAACACAAAAAATTTTTCTATACGCAACTGCCTTACAGCATAATATCTAAAACAACATGATTTTGGAACTTTCTAAAAAAGCAATATTTTAGAAAATCAGACTGTAATATCTCTTACTACATACCCTGCATGCATTACACCATATTCTTTACCGCGCTCCATTAAGCGTTCATAAACATTCTGCACAACCTACAAAAAGGAATTTTTGCAGCATTAAGTTTATACACACAACCTACAAAAAGGAATTTTTGCAGCATTAAGATATTTTATATCCTTCCTCATTAATTCATGGATATAGAATATATCCATGAATTAATGAGGAAGGATATAAAATATCTTTTCACTGTTATATAGACCGGAAAACAAACTTTAAATTTATAAGATCAACTTCTGAGTCTTACTGATAAATGTTTTATTTATATCAACGTTATTTATGGGAACTTCTTAATAACTACAAGCTTCCCGTGAAAATTAAATGTGAACAAAATTGTAGTAGGATAGAGAATTATACTGAGTAACATGCAACCACATTTACATCAAAATGCGCAAATAAAAATAAAGGTAACCTCATTCGGTACATACATTATCCAGTCAAGTTCGCCAGTATGAGTAGAACTTAGCACTCGTATCCCCGTCGCCATTCCAATCGCAATTTCCTGAAAATTAAATCACATTTTTATGATGCTAGGTATTATTTGTAGAAGGAAAAGAACTGCAGGCAAATAGAAGTTTAGAATCATAGATTGTCATACTGACATTATTTTTTTTCATCAATAATATTTTAATCATCAGTGAATGTAGAAAATAACTAGAATTTTCTTAATATCTATATTTTCCTGTAACTTCTTTTGTACTGTTTTGTAGCTAAAACTGATTTTAAGTGCATTATTTACTCTGGGTAAAAAATATACCCTAATAGAAAACGAGGGGAAGTTATAAGTAGACATTTGCTCTCCTGTAAGCTTCTCCATCAAAGCACGTGAACTCGGTCCCACAACATCCAACACAGTATAATGTCCAGTAACATCCTAAAAAGTTCAAAATTTACTACCAGATTTCTATAAACAACAATTCTCTCAACGCCCAAAGTCAAATAATAAAGATAATATACTAAAAAAAGGAAACGAATTTTTGCAAACAATGACCCGAATGTAAACTTTGAGTTTCAACTTTCTCAACCACTTTTTTAGCCATAACTGAAATTGCAGTTGTTGGACAGTAGGAGCAACAGCAAAAAACCTGGAAAAAAAATATGAAATTTCAAAATTACTCAATAAACTGATTCAGCATGAAAGTGTGCAAGAAGCATCAAAACAATGACATTATTTTTTTTTCATCAATAATATTTTTCAAAATTTCTCTTACAATAAACAGTTTAAGAAACGTACTGATCCTCATCCAATCTACATACCGCACAATCGGAAACAAAACCACCCTGTTCGTTCTGCATACCTGTATAAACTACAGAGCCCACTGGCACATCAACATTTGAAGAACAGAGATGTTGCAAAAACTTCAGTGTATCAGGTCCCTGAAGATGCCACTCAATACAATAATCATGAATTGATAGTACAAAAATTACCAAGTAATGTCATTTTATTTTGAAAATGCATATTGTAATGTGCATTTATATATCAATTATAATCTTTAGGAACATATTACGACTTACTTCAATATTAAATTTTGAAAAACTAGACAGATCTATTACTGCAACACGTTCCCTACACGCATCATATTCGCGAGCAACATTTCCAAACCATTCCGGTCTACCAATTAATGAAAACTGCCCACTATAGAAACTTAATGATAAATCTGCAAATGAGAATCACAAAAGTAACACTGCAGAGAAAAATTTTAATAAACATATAAAAAATCAAAAGATTTAATTAAAAACATTAAATATTTTTCGCTGTAAATAATGAATAATACATTATTCTAGGTAATAATACGACCAATTTTTCAATCACGCCTCTTGAATGAATACAATTATTTGCCAGACAAATTGACCTTCGGCATTTTTTCCTGCAAACCACAGAGGCCTTTCATATCCCATAACCTCTCCAAAAATAGCGCCAGCTTTTTTCAACTGATGATAAATAGGGGATGTGCGCAAATTCCGAGCTGTCTGATACTGGTGATATTCGTAAGTATTTGTAAACAGGTGACCTAAAGTGATTTAATTTGTAAAAAAACTGAATTTTTTTCCAGAAAGAAGAATTGACAAAATTACGATTTCATACTTGCCACTTCGGGAACTCGTTCAATTAGGTATTGTGAACTAGCATGCAAGTCAATAAATCGTGTAACATCCAAACGCATCATATCAACTGGTAATGTCTCTCCGCAAATCAAACCAGCAATTAGATCTCCAGCACCTCCAGCGAGAGCTAATCCCTGCCCACTAAAACCCGTCGCAACATAATATCCCTGAACCTAAACTGTAATCCTCTAAAATTCGTTTCTTTCAAAAAAGACACTTTTATGATCAAATTTTTATATTCGAAACAAACTTGAGAGGTTTCCCCGAGTACAGGATTTTTATCAACTGTATATGATTCCGCACTGCACACTAATTCGCCGTATTCCACTTCACCAAGGACGTTGCAACGTTTCATTAAGTGATCGAGTGTTGGATCTAAACAAATAATTGATTTCTTATCTATGGTAAGTAATGAACATATTTTTATAATATAAGTTTAATATAAGAATTTGTACAGTTCAAACGTACAAAATTTATCCCAATCTGGTGATGGTACGGTCCACTGACCCAATTTTCGTGGACGAGTCAAAGGGCGAACTTGATCCTGGTTGAAACCTGCACATAAAGTCCGTGATTCACTCATGCAGAGATACGTTTTTTCATCCACATGAGTTAAAACTGGAAACACCACTTTAGATTTTCACAATCTTTTTTAAATAAAATAAAATATAATATAATATTTTTTTAAATCCAATATTTCATTTGCTTCCTCAGAAAGATAAGAATTTGATCTTAATGACATAAGCTATAAATTTTACTTGGAGTGTCGTTTTTGATGTCTTTATCGGGTAATCTTTTTGTTGATAAATATGTGTAAGTAGCAGGGTGCGCAGCAATTACAACTTGGCGGGTTGGCTTACTTATTTGAGAAGTAGCACACCACTATAACATCTTATTTTTTTTTAAATATCAAGCAAAAATGTTATGAAAAACATGGCTAGTAAATCTCGAAAATAAGAGGCATAGAACTAATAGTTTTAACCCTACACATTACAAAAATATTGAGAAAGTAATGAATTCTACAAAAACGTGCAATTCCAGTTGCATCAACGTAGCATTCTGTTTCAAAAAAACCTTTGTTTGTGCGTACTCCAGTGACTTTCTGGTCTTTGTCAACTATTACTTCATCAACATGACACTGTTCAAATACTTGCACTCCTGAATCTATTTTTTATTACAAAACAATTGAAGTGAGAAAGGAAAGATAAGATTTGACTAGAACTTTTACTTTGGACTTTTACCTACATGTAACAGAATAAATACTGCTTATTGTCAACATCTATGTTACTTAAACCACGGCTCAGATATTAGATTTTTTAATATTCTAGACATCTTTATTGAAAACATGACTTATGATTTCAAACCACAATTTACAAGTTTACATAAAAACCTACCTTGATCTCTACCACGTTTTCCTAATGCTTGGCAAAGACCAACTGGATCTAATGAAACATCATTTGGTGAAAACAAGGCTAACTAAAAAGGAAAAGAGAAATGGAATAAAATATTAAAATTAAAATGATTAATAGTGACATTATTGTTACCATCATATTGACATATTTATAGCAGAATTACAAGCATTGTTATCTTTACTAACTCCCACCGTCACTATAATGATTAGTATCAGTTCTGTCATTAATAGTACTATTTTCATGATCTTTTTCAAATTGAATTTATTAAGAATCAGTATAGTGACGGTGAGGGTTAGTAAAGATAACAATGCTTGTAATTCTGCAATAAATATGTCAATATGAAAAAGATCACAAAAATAGTAAGAAAACAATATTAAAAATTTGCTGATAAACTAACCGTTATCCCTGCTGTGTTAACTGACTTCGGAAAGCAGCGACGCATTTTTTCCTCAGAATCATATAATTGGGCTTCTTCATTATATATTGCTGAGCGTGAAAACATTCGTCGTAAGCTAACTTCACCTTCTTGAGTATTCGTTAGATAAAGTCGACCACAACGATTATATCCTGTTTAAAGTTACAAGTGAATATTATCAAATTGTAACAAGTAATGAAATAATGATTAAGCCATTAAATAACATTCAATTCGTTCATCATCATAAAATAATTAAATAGCAAAGAAATTTTTACTAAAAGTGGATGTTTCCGACAGATTAGCATACAAATCCAATGAGCATTTTGCCATATATTGTTTTGCTGGATCTTGCCAATGCAATGGAGCTGTTACTAAACCAGCACTTAAACTTGTCGCACCACATAATCCAATACTACAGTGAATAAGTACTCAGAAAATAATCACAATTACTATTTAACAATTAAGAAACGCCACTAAAAATAGCGCTTTATGCGTAGTAAACATAAATCTTACCCATTCCGTTCAATTAATGCAACAATCTTGCCACGTTTCGCTAGATAATACGCAACTGAAGTGCCAACAATTCCACCGCCACCAACTACCACATCAACTACATGCGTTTTTCTACTGAAATGATACAATTTATAATAAGTAATAGAAATGATTGAAAATCGGATCAAAAGTTGACAAATAATCAGTAACAAACAATTCTTACTGTGATTCTACTCATTAAGCATTATTTTCGATCAGTACAGTCGATGACTAATGGACTTAATACACTGAACAGTACTTAAAAATGATTAAGTCTATTCAGCATGGCTGCGAATTGTTGAGTGAAAAATTTAAGTCTGATGTTGACAGAATTCGAACTACATAGTTTTTAAAAACATAATTCTTAAAATAAACTTATTTAGTAAAAGTGAGTCTCATCTTCAAATTTACTAAAATATAAATGATAGTAGCAACAAATACAATATCAGAAATAAGCAAATGAAGTAATTACCTTTGTTCTGAAATATTGGTTGTAGTACTATTCTGCTTACAGCAGTTGAAAATAGGCCTTGCTTGACAATAAAATCCACGTATCTTCATAGCATAGACTTAAAAAAATAGGAACTGAAGTATACACAAAAAACATTAAGTTTAAATCATATCGATAGACAACAATTAAGAAGAACACTTCAAGTCGACAACTGCTTATAATTCCGATAAATTACCTTCTCTAAATAACTGAATTATGGAATGATTCTGAAGCATTACTTGTCATAAAAATTTGTGAAACAATTTTCCTTTTCAACAGGTTAAAACATATTTCATATGATTGATACCTTGGATATTACGTTCATGATGTTATAAGCATCGTACTTGATACCGTATCATATATTCAAGAGTTTGTCAAAATTAAGAGTGCAATAAGATAATTCTAAACAAACATCAATTTAATTCAAATATATTATATAATGCTTATAACATCACGAATGTCATCCGGGCTTTCGAAATCTTAGTATATTTTACGCTAAAAAGTGGCAGCCAGTAAATACAATGCAATAAAGTTAGCAAAAGAGTTCACAAGCCAAAAAATCAGACTTTTACAGTCTTACTACTCCATGACCTTTAAACTTTTACTAAAACACAAGTAGAATTAAATATCATAAGAAATACTAAAATCTAAAAATAAACTCAAAAACTTGGAGATGAACAGGAATCTGATCATTTATAATGCATTGAAGGAAGCTATGGCCGTTGCTGATAAGAAAGTAAATCATTAAAGCTAACGATGAAAAGGTCAGAACTGATCCCCCAAGTAGTTAGATCGGATTCCCTACGTAGTTTCCAATTTTTCAAATACTTTTCTGCTACAATCACTGCCAGTTGCGACAAATGCTCGGCCAGTTAGCCTTCCTCACATCAGAAGTTCTTTAAAGTAAGGTCAACCTAAAGACAACCTTAAAGGCCATTTACTCTTGATGACAAGACAAGAACGCTTCATCGAATAAGAACAGTAAGGATAAAAGCAGAAGTTCTTTCAGTAATTGGCACTAACAAACCAGTGAAAGGAAAGTGCAAGGAGAGTAATGAGTTCGGACTTGTTTTAAAATTTTCAAATACTTTATTGCAACAATCATTGATGGTTACAACAACTGTTCCGCACTCTTTGATCCTAACTTTTTCAACTATTTTACATCTTCCAATCAATCAATAAAAATGATATGGCTAAAAATGAAGTAACTCGTGTGCTACATCAATCTCCATATTCATTTCTGCATCAAGAAGTGACGCAATTTCCCACATTAAACTTGAGTACTGAAAATACGAAAATAAATTATAGAGGGGTTTTCTTTTCATTATGCTACATCCCATACTGTGTTATCAATACCATGCATATTCGTACATAAAACTTTATTCAAATAGGTTGCAGCACAGAAATCTCAATAAAAAGCTGAAACACTGCAAGACATGTGACATGCGCGTGACTGAAAGTTTCCAACAAATCATTGCACACATTTAAATATATGCATGTTTTGGTACATGTCACTGAATAAATACTACTTAATGTATCAAAGCATCATTTTAAACGGATGATAATTCATGCTATCCGTAGCCATGAACGTCAGATTTTGAAAAAACAAAAAAATGGCATTTCCAGCTGAAACTAGTAAGTAAACTCTTTCAGTGTCGAAAAAAGGACAGTTAGATTTACTATTTTTAGCTGGAAATACCATTTACACGAAACAACAAATGCGCATTCTTGTTCCGAATGAAAAAGCGAAGACAAATCTTAAAACGATTATGTTTATTGCAAAATCAGGTAAAGGTAAAAGGTCATAAGTGTATACGACATAATAATATATCGTGTACATCTTTTGATTCTATCATGATGTGATTCAAAATTTCTGCTCTGAGACTAACCATTTTTAATTTAAAAGACCAAATGCCAGAAAGAAGGAAACAAAAGTGATGATTTTTTTAAAAAATCACCCTCATTTTTGTACACGTTGAGATGAACAGAATATCATGGCTAGGCATGGAGATGTACCAGAAATGTCAGGAATTCATCGTCCAAAAAGTTTACTCGCGCTTCCACCAAACAATGTGCCACTAACTGATGAATTTAGGGTATTACCAAAAGTAAAAGATGATGGTGCAGTTGGTGCTGGTAATGGTCCTGCTACTGATGTTGTGGAACTTCCTAAAATTATCTAGCTAAAATTTCCAATGTATTGAGAATACATGTTTTAAAATATAAAAAATGGGAGCAATAATAGCTCTGCATGTATTCTTTATAAAATCATTGTTTTTTGATTTCAAGCAACACTATAATTTGATAGAGAAGGACAGACTGGCAAAAACATAAAAATTTACAATTACATCACTACTACCAATATTTTACATTTTTTGCTATTTCTTTTGGTTTCGACATTATGAGCGCATAAAGTTTCCATAAGAAATCCAATTTAACAATTATTATTAAGGATTGAAAGAAAACAAATAACCAAAAAGAGCTGGTGATGTATTAGTTGTAGAAAAGGGTTTGAATAATGATGGCGTTTTGTTCGCATTTGATGTGTTGAAGGAGAAAGTAGGAGCACCAAATGTTTTTGAGCCAAATAATGATCCAGATGGATTAAATCCGCTTACACCTGCTTCAATCACAAATATTTCGTGCTTTCAAATGAAAGTTCAGACTTAAGCAATTTGAGAACGCATAAAATTCATTCATAATTACAAATCTACAAAAAAATTTGAAATCTATAGCACGAAAAAAGAAGCTTACATGTTACTGGAGAAGCTGATGAAGACTTCGCCATTTCACCAATTTTCATCATTGTTACTTGCGAAGGAAATGCTTCCGCACCTTCATATAAGCAAATTAAAATATTCAAAAACTAAAACTAAAACTAAAAAAAAATAGAGATAAAAAAGGAAATGTAGAAGAAATTCACGATTAATGGAGAAGAACAGATATTGAAATGATCCGCTATATAAGATTTCTGCATTAAATTTTCAAAGACTTCAATTGTCAGATAACAAATTAAAATTCATTAAACCTTTACCAGTAAACCTCATTCCTAGATTTGACCTCTCAGAATGCTTAGTTCTGTCCCGTTCAAATGGATTTGGTGAATAAGGAATTACTCGCCTACGATATTCCAAAAATGTATCTCTGAGATCCTAGAAGATGCAAATGGCAATTACAAGAACAATAGC